TTTGTCTACTACTACTACGAGGTCGCTCGCTCTCACATAATGTCGTAATTGCATTAATTGGATTTGTTAGGATACGTCCCACTCTAGCGGCACGATTGAGCTAATTCAACCCTCTAACCGAAACTTAAACTACGACTTATCGTTACTATTGTTAAAAGGAGTTGTTATGTTAGAGAGAATGGAATTTTGTTTATAAACTGATGCGTGCATCGAGAGATAGATGAGCACAATGAATCAGTCACAATAATAACGATGACAATGACTTGTTAGGTGCAGTAAAGCATTCAGATCTATTTTTGGCGAGCGGATGCTATAGCGATTGTAGGTAATTCAATTGGTGCAGAAGAGATGTTATGAAATGAAAAAGTTAATAATTGAGTAATTTACTTAATAATTTTATATCATTTCCTTTGGGAAACGCGGATTATTATAAATTAAATTTTTCTCTTAAATAATTTAATCTGGCAATCCTGAGAAAATTTCGAGATCTTACTGCAATTAGCGTCTAGATTCAACGGCGTCTCGTATCGAACAGGAAGGCGTCTTGTATGTACACCAATTATCATTCCAACGCAGATAGTATCGCTTTACACTGTCACCTACATATAACCACCCGTTATACGTAGACTAGGCGATTTTGCGAATCTCCACGACAAGTTACAGCTGCACTTTATGTGACTTTTTACTCAGGTAGCTCTTCCGCCTTTGCATATTTCCGCCATCTCGATAGATTTAAGAGGGAAAAACCCACATCTGGACTTCCTGTTTTAGGACAAAACAAAAATATTTTATCTAATAAATCAAAAATTGACCAAAAATGTAATTATTAAAACTAAAAAAAAACCTTAGTGTATAAACTTTGATTCGTGGAAGACCAAAATTAACAATGTTGACATAAAAAGTGTCACGTTACGCCCTACCCTAAACACAACCAACCCCCATATAACCAGCGACGCTAATTGCCACACACGCTGTTCTCTGCAACAGACTTGGTTAAAAATAACAAACGCAACCATCATTAACTTTACGAGAACCGTTTAGATCGTAGCCTAAATTATTTATAACAATCTTTAAACGAATTTCAATTTGCCAGGAAGTCGCAAAAGGTGGCACTTAACTTTAAGTGTTTGCTTAAAATTGGGGGAAAAATGTAGTAATATTATATAGTTGTAGGTTTTAAATTTTTGGAGAAGATAAATTCCTGCGACGTTCGCACGCAGCGCGATTCAATTTCATCCATCTTCCGGTTATCGAGAAGTTCAAGAACCGTCTCGAGTTACTCTCTCTGCCGTTCCCATCATCTTTGCGCTTTCATCGAGACAAACTATAAATTCGCACAATTTCACTTTCAAATTGAAGATTATTTATCGAATTTTGGCAAATTAAAACGAATGACTGTGTTATTTAGATAGTTAGCCCGCAGTTATAAATAAATTAAATAAAAATTTAACTACACCGAGGTATTAAATAGACCGCCTGCAGCACGGATGTGAGGATATCCTGTCTATTCTGTACTTTCTATGAACCGAGAAGTACAGTTTTATACAATGCAGGGTATAAAATGATTCCTTCAATACTCAATATATGTGTAATTTCATTTATAATAATCTATTTATAAAAGGAGGTGATGTAAACATTAAATAATGGTAGTATAAGGGTCGGCTTAACTAAAACGTCCTATTTCATAATTCTTATAGTAAACATGGTATAAAAGGAGATCAAAGAATTTTCAATGCGATAAAAAAAAACACAGAGGTTCGTTATGTCGAAGATTATGATATTTACGTATCTTATCACAACGTTGCTGTCTTAACAAGTCAAGCAATTTACTGTAAATTATGCAGTCGGTTCGTTTTATCTAATATATATCGACGAGTTTTAGTTGTTAGACAAATTGGAACGTGACAAGGAGATAAAAGAAACATCGTTAATAATAATAGAAGTTTATGATGTACATGTGTTAAAATTGATGTTTAATCTATTTTTAACTATAGCACTATCACCACAATGTAATATTTTTGCATTAAAGGATTTCCCAACAATTAGAATAATATCACATTTTTTAGTCATTGTTTTCTGCATGATATGCATGCGAAATACTTTTTATTACTAACGTATATCAATATAAATAGACGTTTACTTCATTATTATTCTTATCATTCTATTCATCATTCGTAAAATATTGTTATTCAGGCCCCGCCTTAGACTTGAACGTCACAAGATATTCAAATCATACTTTTTATTTCAAACAGTAGCATCGAATGAATATATTAGCATTTCTCTTTGTGTATTTCAATTTGAATTAATGATACGAATTGGTGTCATTTCCGAAATATGTTGTGCACATTCTAATGGAAATGTATTTATTTAATAAGCCGAGGTCGCTTGAGGCCGAGGCATTAGAGGTTTGAAGTTGAAAATCATTCCAAGGTTCCGACTAATTTTAAATATTCCTTAAAAACTACTAGTTTTAATTACTTGATGGGATTTTCAGCTAATTTTATATACACTTCAATAAAAACGTTTTTGTTTAATGAACCGAGGTCGCTTGCGACCGAGGCAGTACAAATTGAAGCTGCAATTCTCCGACCAATTGTAAATATTCCTTAAAAACTACGAGTTTTAATTACCTGGTGGGATTTCCAGCAAATTTTGTGTAAACCTCAATAAAAACGTTTTTTTTTGTTCAATGAACCGAGATAGCTTGCGACCGAGGCAGTACAAATTGAAGCTGCAATTCTCGGACCAATTGTAAATATTTCTTAAAAACTACTAGTTTTAATTACTTGGTGGGATTTGCAGCTAATTTTGTATACACTTCAATAAAAACGTTTTTGTTCAATGAGCCGAGGTCGTTTGCGACCGAGGCAGTTCAACCTTGAAGCTGCAATGCTCCGACATCAACATCAATGCCGAGGCACTACAACTTTGAAGCTCCGATTGGCCCTTATTAGGGAATGAAGCAATTTTCTTTAAGCATGCATACAAGGTGTGTTCATCTCTATGCCAAATCGAATAAGGAGTATCATCCAGAATATTAACTGTAAATGTACTTTCTCAATAAATTTCAAAATTCTCCAATTTTTGCTTACTTTCTATATTCTAAACATGATTTAATTGTTGTGACAGAGAGGTTTTAATTAAGAACCAGATTGCATGGAATCATTATTCTATTTTATCACTACGTTTTATTCAATAGTAAAATAAAATAAGCTTCATTTTCGCACTTTATACACCCAGGCGGAACAACTTCCTGCACTTCCGTAACAGATTATACAACAGGTAGTGTTGACATTAAGGTCTCACGATTTCCAATAGGAAACGTAAAACGATAAATATATACTGCGAGAGGAAGGGTTTCATTCGCACGGGGTTTTGCTTCCAAAACGGAAGTTAAATCAACCACCGTAACTCGTCGAAAATAATCAACAAAACATTTTAAACAAACTAATTATTTATACCCATTCGATTTAATTAATTTTTCAAAATTGCGAGAGTGGTGGAATGTCAAATGGAGGAAGTAATTACGAAGACGTTGGAACCAGTTTTACACTGCAGAATCCGCTTAAGAATTCTCCAACATTCAAGCGAAGAGAGGAAGAATGAGTGAGTGGAGATAGTGGCAATCCACAATTTCCCTCCTGTATGTATAATAAGAGAGATGTTGATGGAATCACGGACGTACATTCCTAAAGAATTACAAAAAAATCCCCCGGTGTTGTGTTCAAATTATTTGCAGTTATAAAATCATTTGTAACCGTAAAATTTGTTCTAAAAAAAGTAAAAAATTAAAACCGAATTTCGTGTCACACTCCACCGCGTTTATTTTAGGACAAAAACGGATTTCTGGTCCATGAAACGCATAAAAAAAGATCAACTTCCGTACGACACAAAAAAAAAGATAATATAAAATAAACTCCGGAAACGAAAAACCATGGTGAATAATCTAGGTGTTATTTAATTGATTATTTATTCTTGTAAAGCAAATCTTAGATTCACACAGTTTCTATCTACATTAAACATCTCAAGAGATCTATAAAGTTTCTATTTAACTTCCACTTCCGACCCGACAAGAAGTGAAACAGCAACAATGGAAGAAAAAAATTGGGGTTATTTGATATTATAATTTAATTTAATTGAGATTCCTACAATCGATTAACTTCTCACGCGCTTTTTGCAATAGTTGTGTGCGAAACACTCCACGTAGAAAGTTTGTGAACTACTGTGTCTTTTTGTATGGAAGGTCCTTTGAAAAGGTACTTTGTTGTTATTTCGTGAGAGTTGTGTGGAGTAAAAGAAACTTTTTCTTGGTTGAATTTTAATTAATCACAACTTTCACGGATAATTATAGGTTGCTTTTGATTATATCATATCTTTAACGACTTGGGTCATTTTGCTAGATTGCTGCCCTATTAATGAATGATATAAATTATATTATGTCCTGTTTAGCAGTGCATCTGTAGACGCAAAAAACTTTCTAATTCAAAGTAGAGTGTTAGTTCTAGTTTTAATTGCAATTCAATGCTAGATTGTTGCATATTTTTATTAAACTAAAACTAGAAATAGCTTCAGACATAGAACTAGAAATAACCCGAGACTAGAAATAATTCGGGCTAAACCCAAATGTTTCTAGTTCTAGTTAGTTTTAGTGCTAGTATTAGTTCTAGTTACAAAAAAGTAAATACATAATAAAATTTGGATAAGAAATTAACTTTTAATTAGCGCCATCTTTTGCCTAACGAGAAATGTTTAAAAGGTCAAAGTGACAAGATATAAATTTGTTATGCCGCTAATATAGGTAACTAACGAGTTTTTAAGTAAACCAAAATAAAATATTAATACATAATGAAATTAAAACAGTAAATAATTATTTTTAAAAAAAATTACCTTAAAATTCTATTCAATTATTTTTAAATGTTTTGTTACTTTCTTTTAAAATACAAATTTTGTTTTAGAACGTACCCAAATTCAAACTTTTGAATGTTACCTTAAATGTCATTTGACAAAAATGAGCTTTTTGCGCATGTTCATTAAATACAGAACACGCTTTCAGAAGTAAATCGATGAAAAGTACACCGTTAAATATCTAGTTAAAATTTAGTTGGTTCTAATAAAAGTGTAACCTCCGAGAAGTTCAATGCAAATGGGCGCAGCAGTTAATAATCCGCAAAATAAAAGAGGTATGAAAGGTAACGGTTTTAGAGGCAAAAAAATGCACCATCGGCGTTCGAACCCGCGAAATCAACAACCACCGTCCTTGATGGCCCAACCGATGGGACGACCTCCGTTTCCACATCCTCCGGGTGGTCGAATGCCTCCGCCGGGTATGAGACCGCCAATGGGTCCCGGTCCGGGTCCTCGAGGTCCGCCTCCATTTCGAATGCGACCACCACATGGAATGGGTGGTCCGGGTCCGAGAGGGCCTCCAGGACCTCCGTTTGGAATGCGAGGTATGAGACCACCACCTCCTGGAATGAGACCCCCTCCCCCAGGTATGATGAGACCTCCAATGATGCCTCCACCTATGATGGGACCTGGAGGTCCTGGTCCAAGAGGTTTTCGGCAGGGTCCGGGTGGACCAAGACCTTTGATGCCCCCTAACAAAATGCGACGAGGTCCCAAAGATCGAATAATGAAGCGAAGAAGACACAGCAACAACGATTTGGATTTAAGTAAACCTTGGGTAACACAACAAATTAAAGAAGAGTTTGAGAAAAAGAGTGAATTATTAAAAAAAGCGAAGAATAGCCAAGCTATGGCAGATTGGACGCTATTCAGGGAACAAAGGGATGTTTGCAATGGAATGTATAATGCTGCAAAGTTGGAGTATGTAGGAGAACATCCAGAGGAGGTTCGTATCCAACAGCCTCGAATAAACAACGCGCCTGTTATCACAGCACCTATTGATTTTACAGCTGATGTTCAATTATAGGTATTAAATATTGATTATAAGCCATTATTTTTTTATCTTCTTCATTCTTCCCGATTTCTTTTTTAATTTCAATCAAAATTCATTTTTTGATTTAATATATTTTTTTGTGACTTTAAGACACAAAAGGCGCAATTAGTTTTGCTCAACACTTTTGTTTGTCAGATAACTTAATACCACTCAAATATAAAAATCATAATCCATTAATAACTGTGTCTGTTTCTTCAATTACTGTAGATATAACTTTTTTAAATCATTAAATTCAACTTATAATTAAACTATATAGTCATTAAGTGTTGATGAAGCGTTTGAGGAGGAGTGGTTGGGCTCTGGATTGATGTGGTGGAAGCTGGGACCTTGTCAATCTCACCAGAGGCGGTAAGAGCACAACCTAGGTACTCTGCTGAAGGAAATCGCTTCTTAATCCGTTTTTAGACATACATTTTTTTGGTATGTCTAAATTTGCTTTGGACACATCTTTAAAAGATTGGTTTGGAGAATATTTTGTTTTAAATGAAATAATTTGCTGCAGTAATTGAAAGAAACAGTAGCAGTTAAGAATAATAAGAAAAAGGAGAATAAAATCCCATATCTAGCTAGAGAATAATGAATCAAACCCGGCTTCTGCAAGTGAATTTTTGTTAAAATCAGTTGGTTCTGTTTGCAGGATCTAAACAAAAACCTGGCCGAGGCAAACAAAACATTAGAGTCACAATCTAACAGTAATGACAGCAATGGACAGGTTTCAAATAGCAGCGGATCGAATAATAATAATAATCCGTTGCCCGCTGACCCTGTAAATAATATTGCTGTTCATAACGAACCCGCAAAATCCGTTAAACTCGCTGTCAACGAGCCGACAACCAGTTAAAGCGCCGCCAGTAATGCGCGCGATGGTGCCCCAGCTAAAATTTAAATTTATTAAGAAATTGTTCATAACTTATAATAATAGTATTGATAGTCAACTCTTCAAGTTTATTTTATTTCTTTAAAAAAAAAAAAAAAAAATAACAAAGACAATTTTATTTTTCCAGTTATTGTAAATATTGCTGTTTAAAAAAAACTGTTATTATAATTTAAAATTAGATGTGTGTCTTTTTGTATTATGTTTTTTTTTCATTTCAACTTAATCCTTGATTAAACATTTAAAAGTCACTTGTAGAAATTTGCAGCGGAACGACTGTTATAATTTTTAGATTATCGGTCGATTTTGAACGTAGCTGCAATTTGCAAGAACAAGTATTAAAAAAAAAGAACTATTGTAAAATATGTACCTTTCTAGTCTGGTACATATCCATAGTATCTACTTTTTTGATGTAAATTGTCAAAATATTAATAAACAGTTTGTACAAAATAACTCAATTTGATTGTTTTTGGCATGTATATTTTAACTAACACTTTATTTTTTTTCTACTGGAGGCTAGAACAGCTGGGTTTTGCTGGTGATAATCCATTTTATTATATTATTGATTATATTTCATTTCAATTCAAACTGAGAATAAACGCACATGTAATTTTTTTATTACTGGCAAACAGTAGCTGATTCTTCATTTTCAGATGTCAATAGAATCAAAATAACCAATATTTCACGTATATACAACGATCATGGCTTATTACAAATATATGGAGAAGTTAATATTGATATTTTAGAGTTTTTAATTCCAAATTTTAAATTATAACTCTAAGGACTACATTACAACGATTTCTATGTATTAATCAATCTCTAAATTTTATTTTTCAGCAATCATAACCTTGTAAGGATATAATTGAAGGTCATTTTGTAATACACTGTTGGAAATAATTCACGAGCACACCCTGTATGATCTGAACGCGTGAAGATAAATCCATACCAAATTTCATTGCGCTAGACACACGTGTTCAGATTATACAGGGTGTGCTCGTGAATTATTTCCAACAGTGTACTTATCTTACCATCGATCTGATATTTGAACTGCAAATTTGCATTAACACTAACCATAATGTTGCTTTACGTGTCTTCACAGTTTTACAACTTCTAGTTGTTTTATGAGAGCTGATGGCAAGAATGGTGTCAGCTCATTTAGTTCAGATTACATCGCAGCGAGGCAAGAATACTACCGGGTTCGAGTTATCGCGATAGCTGCAAAAATGTTTTCTTAACAGTGCATCTTGAAGAACTGTGATTTTCCGTGAATGTACAGGTGTCCCAAATTCGTTGCCTGCATAAGTTATCTCCGAAACTAAAAGAGATAAAAAACAAGTAGCTTGCATGTTATGATCTCCTTTTTTGAAAAACTGCTAATGCTGAAAACATGGAACAAAACTAACCTTAAGCAATATTTTTTCCGGGAAACGGGCGAAAACAAAACTGACCTATCCTAACATTATCACACTTCCTTCACGCTATAATTGGGGCTCAAAAGAAAACCGACATTTCTTCACGCTTTAATTAGGGTTTCAAAACAAAACTGACCTTTCTAACATTCCTTCACGCTTTAATTGGGATTCTTTCACGCTATAATTGGGGTACAAAAGAAAACCGACATTCCTCCACGCTTTAATTAGGGGTTCAAAACAAACCTGACCTATCTTAACATTCCTTCACGCTTTAATTGGAATACTTTCACGCTATAATTGGGGCACAAAAGAAAACCGACATTCCTTCACGCTTTAATTAGGGGTTCAAAACAAAACTGACCTATCCTAACATTCCTTCACGCTATAATTGGAGTTTCTTCACGCTATAATTCGGGTTCAAAAGAAAACCGACATTCCTTCACGCTATAATTGGGGTACAAAAGAAAACTGACATTCCTTCACGCTATAATTGGGGTACAAAAGAAAACCGACATTCCTTCACGCTTTAATTAGGGGTTCAAAACAAAACTGACCTATCCTAACATTCCTTCACGCTTTAATTGGAATTCCTTCACGCTATAATTGGGGTACAAAAGAAAACCGACATTTCTTCACGCTATAATTGGGGTACAAAAGAAAACCGACATTCCTTCACGCTTTAATTAGGGGTTCAAAACAAAACTGACCTATCCTAACATTCCTTCACGCTTTAATTGGGATTCCTTCACGCTATAATTGGGGTACAAAAGAAAACCGACATTCCTTCACGCTATAATTGGGGTACAAAAGAAAACCGACATTCCTTCACGCTATAATTGGGGTACAAAAGAAAACCGACATTCCTTCACGCTATAATTGGGGTACAAAAGAAAACCGACATTCCTTCACGCTATAATTGGGGTACAAAAGAAAACCGACATTCCTTCACGCTATAATTGGGGTACAAAAGAAAACCGACATTCCTTCACGCTATAATTGGCGTTCAAAAGAAAACCGACATTCCTTCACGCTATAATTAATGTTTCAAAACAAAACTGATCTATCCTAACATTCCTTCACACTATAATTGGGGTACAAAAAAAACCGACATTCCTTCACGCTTTAATTAGGGGTTCAAAACAAAACTGACCTATCCTAGCATTACCCAATATTTCTGTCAGAGTTGATTGTACATTTGTAAGCAAAACTAACCTTTATCTGGAAGTCATTGCTCATTTTCGTCAGAAAAGACGAGTTCATGACTCGAATGCTGCAAATGTGCATGTATTCGGCATTTAACTCCAGCATTCACTAGTTTGTTTTGATATTGCCTTAAATAATGTTTAAAAACATCTCCAAATATTTTCAATAACCATCATCGTGCGATACCTTGTATTTAGTGAAATATTGGTTTTATAAAATAGTTTTTGTTAGTCCCTTATTGATAATATTCACTTAATTATATATTAATTAATTTCAATTAAGGACTTAATCTATTTAATAAACATTTTCGTTGAATCAAGTGCGAAAAAGCAAAAATTTTTCTTTTTGCAAGAAAGCCGCTCATTAAAAATATCTGGGATATACACTAACGTAAGTTGCAGTTTAATTTTTTCACTAAGCTATAACACGTTTATTAATGTTGAGTCAGTAACTTCTAGTTGAACAGTTCAGCTTTGAATTATTTCTTCGATTCTCAAAAAATTATATATATATAAATTATTAATTAAGCAAAGAAATAACTTGCCTCTGTTAATAGGATTGGAGTAATGATATCGAACGAAACGAAGAAGTATCAGAAGATGATTGTCTTTCAGATGAACAAGAATTTGAAGACTATGATTACGAAGATGATTATTATTATGAAGAACAAACAAATTCTGACGAATTATCGTGTGATACATGTGATAGGCAATTTAACGACCAAAATAGTTATCAAAAGCACATGTCTGAACATGTTACTTGTAAAATAGACGGATGTACATTTACAGCACATGAAAAAATTGTTGGCAAACACATCGCGCTGCAACACAGCACCGGTTTATACGACAAAATTAGAAATATTTCAACACCTGAAGATATCCAAAAATGGATTGAGGACAGAAAACGGAAATATCCCTCAAAAGAAAACATTGAAAAACGGAGATTACAACAAGAAAAGTTACTGCAAAGAGGCGAAAAACTCGGTGTTTCTAAAGATAGATTTGGGAGGAAAAATCAAACAAGATGTACGTTTATATATTAATTCAAAAATATATACTAATTAATTTTTTTTTTAGTACAAAAACCTCCACATTCAAAATTTAAAGATAATCAAACAATACTTCATAATAAAACACCCAATAAATTCCCAAAAAGAAAAAATAAACTTAATCAAAACCCCAAAAAAGAATCTCTAATCGATGATAAATCTGATTGGAATGGGACAATGTTTCCATTTAGAGGAACTTCCTCGTTAATTATCACTGAAAAAAAGGAAGAACATTTTGATGATACTGAATGGGACGAAGAAAAAGTAATCGATAAATCTAATAAAATAGTTTTAAATAATGCATTAGGAGCTTTGATGGGTGCTTATAATTCTAGTGATGAATCTGACACGGAAATTAAGAAACAATCTTTAAATAATCAATTAGAAATTAAAAAAGAAAATGAAACAATTAAGGTAATCAGAAGTATTAGTGATGGTGAAGCTCCTGTTGAGGAAAAAATTAAACGAAAAGACGATGAAGTTAATACCAAGATATTGGAGGAGAAAAAAGTTAAATTAAAACGAAATAGAAAAAGAAATAATAAATGTGAGAAGGTGAATAAACCTGAAAATTCAGTGCCATTTTTGCAACGTAAATTTAAAAGGAGGAAAAGAACTTTATTGGAAGGGTTGTTGGAGAATGATATAAGGCATGAAAGAAATGTAGTTTTGCAGTGTGTTAGCTATATTGTTAAGAATAATTTTTTTCAAAAAGAATAATATTTTTGTAATTTAATAAAAAAATGTGTCTTACAATCCTTGTTTTTATGATACCTTTATCACATTTGTTATGGAAAATATTAATTCTGACTGTTCTCAAGAATAGATTTGGCTGCTGAGGGAAGCACCAATAAATGTGTTACAAATATGTGTTTTTAACCATAACTCACCACAATGGAAGGGGGGGTTCTTCAGAACTCATGGATGCACCCCCTCTGTCTTCCACTCTTCAGAGATGCGTTTGTGCAATTACACAGCAGCGCGCGCTATCTATCTCGTCCATTTCCGCTTTTCTTGGTTTTGAGGACACAAATACACTAATGGCGCCCCAGGTAGTTTCGTGGCTGTTTATGGTGATCTCCACGGTCTCTGGTGTTATTAGCCCGACTTTTTCAATTAGCTTCCGCCTTAGCTGTATCCACCTCTGGCAGTGAAAGAAGTCTAAGTACCAGCATGCTGCGCTATCCACCTTTCCAATGGTATAAAGGTATTTATTATTAATACCTTTTCACCCGTGGCCGGTGGGAAACTGGGTTAGGTCCTGATCCCATCGTTCCTGCCAGGCTTGACGGGTGCGCTTTGCAATCTGCCTCTTCGATTCTGGATTGGTCCTGGCATCCCATCTTCGTCTTTTCTCTTGTGCAAGCAGGTCTATTGGGATTACTCTAGCCATCATTAAAACCGTAGACGGTTCTGTAGGCGCTGGCTACGCAGACCGCCTCTGTGTGTTGGATCACTTTCAGGTGCCTCCACACGGAAAGTCCGACTGCCGTTGACAAAACCTCACTGCCGTATAGCAATATGGAGTGGGTAACTTCCATCAGCAGCTTTCTGTTTGATGCCGTAGTCCCACCAACGTTTGCCATCTCCAATCTCTTAAGGACCAATTATTTTTCAAATGCATATAGTATGTTCCGAGATATCTCGGGTCTGGTCCTTAAGGGGTTGAGTGGGATTGAACTACTCGTGCGGCCTTATTGCAGACCGCCTGTATATATTTCACAAAGGTGACTGCTGTCGATAGACACACAGATACTTTAGCGTTGTCACGGTGGTGATTTCGTTGCTGCCTCTGTTTTTTGCGATTTTTCAACCCGCGATTGCTCGTCCAGCTAAGTATTCGTCTCATAGTGCCATTGATTTTTAGCTGTAGTTCTCATATTTCTCTGGCAAGAACTATGGCGGCTAGGTCATCGGCGTATCCTATCATGTAAGTATTTTTCGTCATGGATATTATTAGAATGCCGTCATAGAACACGTTCCAAAGCCATGGGACACCCCATACGTCATCTTCCTAGTATTTTGGCCCTCATTGGTGTCGTATATAATGATTCTATCGGAAAAAATCTTGTTGAAGAGCCAGGAGGATGATCTCTGCCCATCGCGCTGTGGTCAAGAATGAAAGAACGGGTCTAGAAAAATGATTGACTCTGCGCTCTTTGAAATGTGTCAATCATGGATGGCGTCGTCATTTGAGTGTCCATTGTGGAAACCATATTGTGTGTTGGTCAATCCACCCGATCTTTCTCCATTCTGCATGTAGCAGTTAGACATATTCATGAGGACCTCCGGTGCGACGAATGTTTCTAGATTTAGGTTTAGTGTTAGTTCTATTGTTAAGAGAAAAAAAATTAAATAATGCTTATGAAATATTTATATTTTTTGTTAATTACAACAAGTTACATTTATTAAATCACATATACTTTCAAAATATAAACAAAACTATTAGAAGTGATGGTATTTCTTTTGAAAAAAAAACTTAATACTTAATTTTCCCACTTGAAATTAATTTATTTTGAAACGAATTAATAATTTATTATTGAATACGTATGAAAGAACGTAAAATTAAAAAGGAAACTAAAATCTCGCAGAATTTAAATGCTTCTTCATCATCATACCATCTTATAATATACATACTTTCCATCAGATTCAAAACTGTTATCATTATATTCGTATTTAAAAAGAAATATGTACTTAATAAAACGACAACCTTTCTTATTTTTCTTTAAATCAACCCAAAATAAAATTTATCACTTCAATTAAATAAAAAAATCCTCTTTGTTCAGATTACGTCAAAATTCTTAACTGGCCCGTATTTGTTCCATAAACCAAACCTTGACCAGAAACCGGAAGCCAACGAATACAATTAACGCTTTTTAACGAGTTTGGTTCTCTGATTTGAGCCACCTCCCTCGTCGAAACCAATTGATTCGAAGTATTCCTTTTATCATCCAACGCAAAAATTCGGGCCATTATCCATCGTTCGCTTGGAACTATCGATACTCTTCTCGCAGATAATCCAACCACTAAATGACGATTTAGCGGGGATAATGAAACGGAAACTGCGTTTTGTTCTAAATCTGCTACATATAAACGTTGACCCAGCGTTTCCCATTCAAGACTGTAAACCCCTAAAACAAACAAAAATAATTTTTAACAAAACAATTAATTTAACTCACCTAATCGAGTTGTCGCGTTTAAATAACCACCGGTAGGTAACAAAGTAACCAAAATACTTCCATCACTAGCAATATCAACACTCGCGTCGTTATGGATCTTGCATTCATTTACCACCATGTTTCTTAAAGCTATATATATAAAAAAATATTAATTAATTATTTTGGTTATTATTAAAATTATTTCTTACGATCGTTAATGTTTGGGATAACATTTTGTGAAAAATCCCAAACTTGTATTCGATGATTGGGAGTAACTGGAGTCATCATATCGGAAGTATCGTAAAGTTGTTCGCGCACGCTTTCATCTAAATCATTATCGATTGGTCCGGAATAAAGAGGATGAAGAAATCTGGGTCTAAAAAGACCGGCGACGGGATAAGTTCGGAGTTCAGCAAAACGCTCCGACATTCTTTGCCGATTCGTTAAATACGATTGAAAAGATTGATATTGAGGAAATTGCGTGATCGGTTCATCATTGACTTGAATGATAGGGGCATTCCAATATCTCGTACGAGGGGAGCCGTTGTTATTTGTGGACGAGGAATCGTCGTCGTTAAGTATATTAAAAAAATTCCCGGTTGTTCTTGATCGTGGAAAAATTGTGTTGGGGGAGAAGTACCCCAACGTTCTTTCAGAACTAGTTTCAGCCGGAGATTGAGGTTGGTCTGAATTATTATTATCATCATCGCTACTCAAAACTTCGTTATTAGCACTCGTAGAAGTGACTTGAGGACGATTATTTTGAATATTTTGAGATTCACTTCCGGAATTATTAGAAACATTATTACTTAAATTACTACTTTGATTGATTGAAAGATTTATTCCGCTCGTACTCGGTTGATCGGTCCCAAGAGCTTCATTTCTATGCCTACTAATTAATCTTTGAATAGTTTGGAACCAATCACTCGTCGATAATTGATTACTAGTACTTCCGGGCGGAAGAGTTTCGTGTCTCCGAATATTCCTTAAACACGTGTGTATCTCCTCTAATAAAGTCCTTCTTGGATCTCTAAACGAAGAAGGCAACATTGCGTTCCTTCTTGCTCGATATGTTTGATTTAAAGCGTTCGAAGCTTGTCTCACCGCTAATCTGGTGAATCTTAAACTCCGACTAAGCGCTTGAGAGTTATCGTTGATTCGACTCAACATTCGACTACACATAAGATCGATTCTAACGGATAAACTCTCTCTTTCGGTGTCTAAATTCATTCCTGATGGTGGGGGGATTGAGTCAACTATTTGTAATAAAAGGATTTCCGATAATAAAAGCGATAAATCTAAGATATCCGAAATGAGTGGTCTCATATAACTTTGGTTGCTTGAAAACATGATGTAACGAATTAACCGCTCAACTGAAGTCGTTAAAATATCTCTCGCGCTAAATCTTGACGCCCCATCCGCGGTTACACCCGTTGATTGGCGATTTATTGAGTGATTAAATCCGATGTGGGAAATAATTCGCATTCTACAATCGTTTAATCGAAATACTAAAGCGAATTCTTCGCGGTGAGTCACAACCGGGCTCCTAGTTGGACTCACAACAATCCCAATGTTTTGACCGTGCTCCATTAAAAAAAATTCCAACCTCCGTATCAACGTACGTAAAATCTCCATCGATGCCGTATTTGGGGTTCCGTTATTTTGTCGAAGCAGATCAACAGAAGATTGTTGTAAAAGCGTTCGGCAATTAAATCCCCTCCTAAATAATTGCCTCCTTAACAATCGATCTCGCGAATACAACCTTCTATGAAGGATATTTCCAACTGGGCCCCTCCTTAAATTACGATGCATTAAAAATATACACCTAGGAAAATTTTTTCTTGGTACTCTTTGTTGAGTTGAGGAAGAAGTTTGTTCCCCCACGTTTGTACTACTTCTTGATGGTCCCTCCGAAGAACTATTTTGGGAATTTGAATTTTCTTCCGGCGAATCGTACGGGCTTGAATCGCTTATTCGAGCACCAGCCATCATTTGTCGCACGCTCGAAACGGCGTGACGATTTTCTCCCCTCGATCGAAAATGTCTTTGTAACTCGGTAAACATTTGCCTTAACATTTGTAATTGAGCCACCTCTAACATAGCGCGGTCGATTCTCTCAATACTCTCAACTTGTAATCTTAATAATCTCGCTTGACGCTGTATATGCGACACGGTTAAATGTAAAGAAGCCATTAATGGACTCATATAGCGTATTCCTCGGTTTGAATTTCTCGAGTTAACTGGATAAGTATGATCGGCCACGGCGGCTCTTTGATTTGCAAAAATATTTTCGGCTTCATCTAATAAATTAGACGAGTTTAAAGGGGGATCATTGTTTTGATCCCTTAAATAAAATGATTCATCGCTAAAATGTACTTGAGGTTCACTTGATTGAGACGAAGCGTTTGAGTTATTAGGGTTGGTGTTTTGATTGGTTGTAGAGGGATTGTTTGTGTTATTTCGCTCGGGGGTTAAAGTTTCAATGGACGTTCTTAAATTTCTTAAAATTGCGTTTGATTGATTCATAATACTTTCTAATCTCTCAGAGAAACTACTCAACATATCGGAAGTTTCGCCCAAACGATTTCCAGGTCTTAAATTCCTCACATCGTTTAAACTCGATTCTAATTCTTGAACTATATTTGAGTACATATTTCCAATTCCGATATTTTCGGGGTTAATAGTTGCAAATTCTGGTGGTGGATCGAAGGGGTGAAAATTAGGGGGAGGTACAACCGGTTCTTGCGTATCCTCTTCGTTCGTTCTTTCAGAGTAATTAATTAATTCATCGGATGCGAAACTCCTGCTACGATTAAACGCGTGAAATGATCTCCACCAATTTCTTCGAGATGGCGAAGCCGGTCTTGGCGAACGTTGCAATGATAATCTGTTCCCGTATCGGATTGGCATAACTCTCGTTGGGTTAAACGCGGAGTAACGATGAGAAAAGAATCGGTGATTAGGAGGTCGGGGTAAAGATCTGGGAGATGATGGTCTTATTATTGGTTTTAAAGCAACTCCAATTGTTGATCGGGTTGAAGATGTGTTCGTTTCGCTTTCTGTTGGTCTTAAATTAGAATTATCTTGTGTTGATTGTTCTGTATTTTGATTAGATGGGCGAAAATCGGGTATTCTCAACCCGCAAGTGCTACAAATTCTACTTGAATGATCTGAATTTTCAGCGTTAGGGCAATTTCTGTGTTGGTCAACTTGTAAGAGATCGGTCACGAGTATTTCTAATTTTCGATTAAAATTTAATGGTTGTTGTCTTGATGATGAATCATTTTCTGGTGAAGTGATTATTGTTGATGTAGATGTTGTTGGTACATTTTCCGAACATTTTCTTTTACTAAATGATTCATCATCATCAGATGTACTACTACTATCAGTTGAAGTATCCCAAACTGGTCGTCGATTCTTTTTTAACCCAGAATAAGTTCTTTTCCTACTATGATCATATTTAGGGCGGGCTTTTAATGTTTTTAATTTTGATTGAAACCCTGAAGTACTCGGTTTAGGCTCCTCCTCTTCAACATTTCTTTTCTCACTATTACACTTTATTACAACTTTATTCGACCACAAATTCAAAGTGGGACTTTCAACATCTTTTGTCGCACTATTTGCGGGAACCTCATTAATCACCAAAATTCGTCGTGGATTTTCAGTTTGTGTCGAATTCGATTCAGTCTCATTCGTCGTGGTCGCATCCGCATTTTGCGAATGCAATCGATCCATTAACATTTCGGAGAGCCTACGAAATGGAAGCGATGGTGCCGTAGAAGTCGAAGGGATACTTTCTGTGCTTGATGAATTGTATGAAAACGTTGAAGTCGTTTGAGTGCCGATTGTCGAGATGGGTTTTGATGACCCGTATCGCCTTGGTGTCGATGTCATCGATCGTAAACCGGATGATGTTGAAGCTTGGGGATCATTTTCTGATTCATTAGTATTTGGGGGGGTTGGAGAAGTTGAGTTGTTTGGAATTGGGGTGTTTGAAGCTGAAGAGGATTGACTTGCTCCTGTTAGAACTGAAAGATCGATTTCTTCCTCCATTGGATCAGTTCCTTGATCGATCTAAAATAAAAAAATTAAAATAGAAATTAAAATAAACGCCTTTTTTATTAATACCATTGTTGGGGGGCGATATACTTGAAGATATCGTTGCACCAAAAGCTCGTATTCGCGCACTAAATTTCGATAACATGCCGTTATCCTCCTTTCCCTTTCTGGAACCGTAGACAACGGTTCCCTAGGGGTGTTATTATTACTACTATTTACTGTAGTTGTGGTAGTTGTTGTTGTTGTGGGTGGGGAAGGAATTTGAGGACCCGGAACCGTAACTAATCTCGGTGTGATCCTTCGTCTGTAAGAATTCGCGGCGCCCTCGGTTTGCCTCGAAATTGGTACGGGGGCTCTGACTCTTTCCCATCGCATTTGGGGACAGTTAGAAATTCCCGTAATCAATTTCGTTCCTTCCTTGCTAAAAGCTACGTAACGAACCTGGCGAACATATGTCATAGATTATTATGGAATTGTTGAGAGGTGTGCGTTACCTTCTCTTTGCTATTACCAGTTGAAACACTCATAAAAGGTTCCGGTTTTGTCCAATCCCAAAAGTGAAGTTCGTTACATGTAGCTATAACCAGTAGACGATCGTCGGGGTGAAATGCTATTGATGCTATTACTGATGTTATGTCTGATGTCCATATTTCACTCCCTCCCTATAAAAAATGATAATTTTAATAATGTTTTATATAAAAGCAAATTCAATGTTATTAATATCGTACTTATAAACTTTGTGATTCAAGTAAATATAGATGTGTTTCAGGTTTTTGTAGCAGTACTTTAACAGTCGACCTTATTAAAATTAACATAAATCGCCCCTAGGGGGCGATTACGCATTTATTGGGGGCGATTATTTCATTAACGGTATTTGGGGGGCAAAAACATTTAGAATACTTGTGTATTTATTTTAAAGAAAACTGCGGAAGCATTAAAGAAACGTATGGGTATTTTCTATCGCGTCAATTTCTTTTGTGTATATTACGTTCTAGACCAGCTGCAGACATTCAGTGCTTTGTTTAGTTTTATTGTTGTACGTTGTACACTTTCTTGTACAACATATTAAATAATAAGCTTGCTTAGTCACACTTTTTTCTGTTCCTCAGAGGTAAGTTAATACTTAATTATTACTTACAAGATTGATTTTTTTTAAATTGAAATATGTTACTTCAATAATGTCGGCGAAAAAGAAGTGGCAATACTCTGTTGAGTACATAAAGTTCGGTTTTATTGCCTCGCCTCATAACAGCCAACTGCCAATGTGTTTACTATGTAATCAAGTGTTTTCCAATAAAGCAATGAAACCTTCGCGTATGGTTGAACATTTAAATAGAAAACATCCTGACAAGAAATAAAAAGATATTGATTACTTTAAGATGTTAAAAGATAATTAACGTTTAAAAATCTGCGAAAATGGTGATTTAAGGCTCTTCCTCACTAAATTAGAACCTAATATTACTAAGTTGTGGAAAAATCATCAACCTCAAGGTTCTCATTAAAACTTTCAATGTAATTTAGGTATCCTGTTTTATATTTTTATGGTAAAAGTAGAATAAAGACTTATTTTTGTTAGTTTTAAATTTAATTTTTTTGACACTAACCCTTTGACATTAACCTATATGTGGAGTCAACTCAGAAAGTAACGTCGAAAATCGGCAGTTTTCGTTTTTAAAGGCATACATGATATTACTTTCTTTTTTGACTATACATACAATTTTTATTCAACAACTATAGGGGCGATAAATAAAGCGAACCTAATAAAGTGGGCATTTCATTCAAAAAGATTGAGAAACACTGATCTATATGGAATTATAAAAACTAGATTATCTTGAAAACGATCAACTTTAGCGCATTTTGATAAACGACCCTTTTTGTTCAGAAAAGTCAAGAGAATAAGAATTTTTATTCAAAAAGTATACTGTCAGAAAAGTTATGGTTATTTTCAACGATCTGGCAACGTCGCTTGCTTTCACTCCTCTCTGGATAGACCATAATGTGTTAAAAAAAACTGTCCTATTGATACACACCGATTGTTTGTAAACAAGTGAATGTTTGTAAACAGTTTCGGCGTTTTGATTTGCTTTTGCTTATAATACTTTTAATTCAAAATGGATTAAAATGGGAGGAGGAATGGGTCGTGGATTACTGTACATGTCTGAGACAAACAGACGTGTATAAAAGAATAGCGATGGCCTATCCAGCGAGACACGAAGCGAAGCAAGCGACGTTGCCAGATCGTTGGTTATTTTAATGCGTAAAGAATACGTTACAGAGCGCCCTCCACCGGCTATAGTAAAACGGACTCCATAATCGTCTTTCTCACGCCAAAAACCCTCTGTATACCAAATTTAAATAGAATCTATTGAAATACACTTGTAATATTAAAAAAAAATCAATTTAAAAATTTAATTTGAACACCCTGTATCTCCAAAGCTTTTTCACAGTTGTTGTGTTAATTTTAAAATATCTATCAACTATCAAAGTCCTGATACAAAAACATGAAACACCCTGTATATTTAATAAATTTGAGATACAAATAAAAACCACACAAATAAGGCAAAGACATGAACTTTCATGTTGGATGAGGTTAGTTTAGTATACAGCTAAGGATATTGGGTAAGGTTAGTTTTGTTGTCAAAAGTCAATGACCCAGGTATTTTCTTGCACTTTTAAACATAAAAAAAATCACTTAGATAAAAATAAAGTATTTTAAAATAACATACACTAAGATCCCAAATGCGTACTTGTCCCCCTAAACATCCAGATGCTAGAATTTGATTAGAAGTTGGATGAAAAGCAATGCACCATGGAGTTCTTGGGTGACCGGACAAAGTGCGAATATTCTTTCCAGTTCTAGAATCTGTTACGTAAATGTTATGATTTCCATGGGTAGATGCAATTTTGGTTCCATCAGGACTAAATACCATCAAAAATGTAGATCTTGGTATATCGGGAATATCACATCTCTAAACATAAACTAATTAAAATAAGAATGCTTTAATTTTGGTTACTTTACCAGTTCATCAAATTGTTTGTGAATAAACACATCTTCAGCGTGTATTTGTAGATCGTAAGGAGATCCTTTGACTTTTCTGCAATTACCAAGACTCCGTTGTTCTAAAGTTCTTATTAAATCCAAGTCGTTTAAGCCTAATAAATCGAGTTCGTCGTCCATGGTTTTAACGCCGAATGAGGCGTTTTTAACGTTATTTTTGAACTAGAAACATTTAATCGTGTTTAGTATTCTTTTAATTGCGCCGCATTTCTAGTGCATGTATCACTTTACTAATGATAGCATTGTACGTTTATAAAATTGTAAACAATAGTTGAGGAACAGGGTCGGGCAGAGGTCAAATAGAGATCTCTTTGCTTTAAGAAGCCGATTCCTAACCTGATTTTACATATCCGTAGAGAAATAAGTAGAAAAACACCACGCTATTTGACTGATTAGCATTTATTTGTAAATAGAATGTACGAGAGATGGATAAACAAAATTTTTTCACTGACGTAACACATTCTATTTGACAGCTGATTAATTTCAGGAGTACCAATGCATTTTTATCATTTTAAGTTGGTCATTATTAATTGAAACTATAATGCCGGAAATAAAAATTTTAATTAATTAATAACACTATATTAACATTTAATAAAATGCATTTTAGAAATGAACCAGGAAAATAGACGAAATAACCCGGTAATAATAAATTTTTAGTTTTAATTTAACAAAATTGCACAAACTTTGACAATTGACTTATAGATGGGGTTAAAATTGAATAAACCTGTTAACGATTATTTATTTATTTTTAAATTTATAATTAAATTAAAACCAATAAGTCATTTTCATTGTACCATCAACATCTTTTGGGGTGTCCATAACACTGCTTTGTCGAGCCAATCTTTTTATAGAAACTTTCCTAACTAGATCCGTTTCATCATCTTCTTTTAAAGTATGTAATTCTAAAGCTTCATAGGAACAAGATTTTGGATATTCTGGTCTAAACATAAAAGTTATTATACACTAATTATTATATTACAATAAATTATTACCTCAAAGGAATGCATCTACAACAATCTTCAACTGTAAAATCTTTTCCAAACTCTTCTCCTTCTTCAGCAGTTTGAGGAAGTTTATAATGAAGAGTTTCTGGGAGCCGTAACCCTGATAATCCTCCAATAACCGATAAAATTCCCATGATTATTAACGGCAAAATTAACATTTCAGATCCCTAGAAAAGCTTTGTTGCAGGAAAAAACTTCACCATTAAATTTTCTTACTAAATATGTTATGAATGGGATTACAATCAAACCTAAACCTCCAATATAAGCAGAAGTTCCTATTCCAATTCCTCTTAATTGAGTTGGATATAATTCCCCAGCGAAAGGATAAATGATAAGAAACGAAGCTGAAATTGCTGATTTTGAAATTAAAAATAATACTAAAGTTGTTACATGATCTTCCGGTGGTATTAAAACTGTAGCAATACAACTAACTCCGCTTATAATCATGCAGAGACAAAGAGGCCATCTTCTCCCCCATCGATCCATAATGATCCAACAAGCGAAATAACTCGGAATTTCAACAACGCAAGACAACAAAAAACTTAAATACTGATTATCTCCAAGTGATGGTCCATAATAGCTTAACCCAACATAAACAGTTTCATTAGCAAACCAATTTAGAGTAATCAAACACGTTTTTAGTCTCATATTCGGAGTTCCACACAAAGATTGAATATTAGGTTGTTTAGTGTAGAGAGATTCTTCGCTTGCATTAGCTCTTGAAATTCTTTGTTTTAATTTGTAAGTAAAACTTTCAGGTAAATCTTTATTGTTAACTCTTGCTAATGTTTGTAAAATATTTGACGCTTCAACGAATTTTCCTCTAGCCAGCAACCAACGAGGACTTTCCGGCAAGAAAAACCAATAAATATAGTACAAAAAGAACGGTATAGTTGTTGTATAAGCAAGTTGGACCCAATCTCTTATTAAATAAGTTACCCCCGAAAGTAGCATTAATCCAAACGTGTAAAACATGCAAGTTAAAACTGTGACGAAAGAGCGATAATTAGGACCAACTAATTCTAAAGCTAAAAAATGAAAAGAAAAATTAACGATCTTCTAAGTATGATTAAATTTACATATTATAAATGGTATTTGATAAATGGCCGGGATTGTGAGGCCAACAATAACTCGGCTTCCCGCCCACCACCAAAAGTTTTGTGCCGTGGCTGTTAAAATGCCACCAAAAATTAAAGTTGTTAAACATAAAAAGAATGATTTCTTTCTTCCGATTCGATCGTTTAAGATTCCGAAACAATAAACTCCTAAAGGCCCCCCCAAATTTAACGCAACCAATCCCAAAGTTGGATAAATATCTTTATCGCAAACAAGATCAAACTAAAAAGAATACAAATTACCCATCAAAAAATTGTGTTAAAAAAACTTACATCTATTACTATGCTAGAAGAAACCTCTGTTTTATTATATTCCCACCCGGAATTACAATTTCCAATTTCCCAACTTTCATTAATAGGGATACTAAAAACGTCTTCAAAACCATCTAAAATTTCATTCCAATCAACTAAATACTTTTGACATTTACTGTGAGATTGATTCGTTTTTGGTATTGCCAAATAAATCCGTTCTTGAACAGTGAAATTTTGTAACTCTGGAACGTAACACCAATGATCCGGAATTTCAGACATGAAAAGTTGATTAAAAGCGCCGAATCCGCACGGAAAACACGCCGGTAAACAAACCAACCACAACATGATTTTCTGATATTTTCCAAATTCCCCAACTTCAGGTAAAAGGTCATCTAAATCTAAACATTCCTACAAAAAAACGACAGTGTGAATTTTTGTTAAAAGTACTTTTATAGATTATGTACCTTGTCTCTTTCATCAGACTCCATTTTTACAAATGAAAGGCTTGATTCTATATCACATTAAATTAAGAAGCCGTACGTAAGCTCGAGTTAGTAATGGGATTATCTACAGGTTTTTTCACACGACTACTCCAGTGACCAACTTTTTAGCCCATTTTTAATTATAATTTTTTCAAGAACCTTTATTTTAGATTAGATAAATAACTCAATCGATGAAAATATTTTTTGACATAGTTATTAAGCGATTTCATGAAATACAGTTAATGTGTTAAGTAAATAGAAATTCATCTTTTTGCATCGAGTCCATTTTGGAAAGGTTATGAATATTTCCATTGTCATATCCATTCTTGCATTCCATGCAGCACGATCACAAAACGATTCGGACTCAAACGAAGGAGTAACTGAGTCTTGGGTACAGTTCTCAAATGGAAAACTGGATACTGCCAATAAAAGACTAGATTCTGATGGCATAAGATTAGATATTACTTGTAGAAGACTACACACTGCTGTCAGAACATTAAAGATTGCCAATGGAAGACTAAATACTGCTAATAGATGAATAGATCCTGTTTGAAAAGATTAAATATTGCTCACTTGTTATTGTTGGCAGAAAACTAGACTCTTAATGGAGGGAGTTTTATTAATGGAAAACTGGACACTGCTAATAGAAGACTAGATCTTGTTTGAGAAGATTAAATATTATTGGCAGAGAACTAGATACTGCTAGTAGAAGACTAAATACTCATTGCAAAGGAATACTTAAAAAAATATTAATTTAGCTCCAAAGAGCTTACTAAAATCCATTTGGGTCCAGACTCATTTTCCATTAATCCAATAATTCTATCTTGTCCATAATTCCTGTCTTCTCAGTCAATAATTTCTTAAAATGTTCTTCCCATTTCTTTTTCTAATGTACTCTCTGATTCCTATTTTATGAAGGAGATAAGGTTGGGTTGGATACACTTAAATGTATTAAATAAATAAGTCTGAAATAAAAGATTTAAATATATATTAAATGAAGAATTTATTTGATGAATTCATCTACAAAAAAAGTAATAATGATCAAGTTTTAATCCCAAAAGAGAAATTTAAAAAAGTAAAGGTTTAATCTTTCGTTATTATATTATTACAATAATAAATCATCATCAGAATGGATAAACTTAAAGTTACACTTTGATATAGTATAATAATTGATGTGCTAAAAAATGAATTAACATTGAAATTCTTCAAAAAGGGGGTCATAGGCACCTAGACATGGTAACATTTAAGAGATATTTTTCGTTTAGTTTCCGCTTTATTTTTTTTTAATTTTTTTCGTTTTAATGTTTTTTGTGTTGTTGTTGAGAGTGACCGATGTTTAACAATAAATTTTTTCGGAATGACCACAGTCGATCAACTATTATAACTTACACACAGCATTGAGCACACGTGTTTTTTTATAATAATAATATTAGATAATAATAGAACGATTAATAAGAGGCTTATACTATTTTTTTTTCTTAGTTTTCGTTACATCAGTCTTACCGCACTTGTAAACATTGTCAACATTGCGAAACATCGGTTTATTTCGTATTTTGGGGGGTGTTCTTCACTATTATTTAACAAACAATCCAATGGCACACCTTAGACAATCGCGCAAACATAGAAACATTATACTTATCATAACTTCATCATTCGAAATCTATTACACAATTTCATTTTAATTTTTTTTTGATCAGATAACTTTGAGCTCTGCACTTTGGTATATTATTATAAAGAGGAGATAACAATAAACGAATAAACATAAAGAGGTTCTGGATATTTAAATCATCAAGTTTTAATTAATTATTTCTATTTCTTGATGGTTTAAATGATCGAAAACTGAATTATGTCCACGAATTAGGAATATTATAAAACAGTGGCCCAATCCTTCAATCCTTTTTAAATAACCTGGACATTTTTTTCTTTTCATTTTGGAACAGTTTGTAAACGAGATAAATAATTATAAAAAATAGAATTTAGGCCTATATTATATTATTACACTATAGCTAAACGACTCGCACGTTAACATACAAAAAATTCTACTATCACCCGAATTCATTCTTACAACAATCTTACATTAATACAATAAATTCATACAGCCCTAAGATTCACGCATAAGCCGCGCAAAATGAACGTTTTACATCTTAATTATAATTAAAAAAAAATATATAGGAAAGGAAACTCGTCATTTTGCGCAACCTACGTTTTGAAATATCACACATACAGGAATCGGATAATTATAATTTAAGAATTATAATTATTTCTTTTGTTTTTATAAGATTGGGAAGGCTTCAGGCTTCGTAATTACTAATGGAATTCCTTCGTCAACATTTTTGTTCATTAATCTTTGATAATGTCTCGAGATTAATTTACGTTTTGGCATCTATTTGAAGCATTCCCAAATCACAGATTGATTTTACTTTAATAAAGTTATACCACGGTACATAACATAAGATGGAATAAAGTAAAAAAAATTTAAAAAAAAATTAAGCATTAATACAAGGAGCTTAAATTTAAGAAAGATTATAAAGAAGACAGATTTGGAAGTTTTTAATTTATCGATCTTATTATTATGTATCGTGGTTTAAGACTAAAGTACCCTGAAACCAGACTGATTTTATCGAAACAGGAGATGATAATAACGCACGGAGAAACATCAAACGACAGTCTGGTCTTAGCACACAACATATCATATCATATCAATCACGCAAGGCACAAACAGGGCCCCACAAAACCTTCATAAAAAATATCATCATTCAAAAAGTTTTATTATTCTTAAAATTTCCTGAGTATGAATGGTTTTTAATTACAAGAATAATTTTGTTTTATTTTTTATTCATTTAACCATTTGAATTTTTATTTTATTTTTTACTTTTATGAAAACGGTAGGGTTGTGTGCAGTAAAATTTTTTTAGTGCATGTTTAAACAGAATAAGAATTAATTTGGTTGAAAGAATAAATAAAATATTTAATAATTTTCGTTTTAACATGCACTGTTTATTTTATAAAGTAAAAAAAAGAAGATAATTTTATCATCAAAAGTTGAAAAATACCCATGTAAAAAATATTTAAACCTACTTATTTCGTAAATTCGATATGTAAACAGGTGAAAAATGCTCCTTTTTATTTCGAATTAAAATTACAGTTATTAAAAAAAAAGTAATGAGAACCAACATAGGATTATTGATGTGTGATTACGATACAAGAGAGAGAGAGAGGAATTATACAATTATCACCACTCTTCTTTTGCTTCTCCTTTTACTTCTTCTTTTTCAGTCTTGAGCAACAAACGACGTACTCTACCCTTGCATTATTTTTTTAAATTCTTTTACAACACATTTTATTCACGGCACTTATTTTTTTTTCAACAACGCACAGCAGCTAAATATGGTAACAACATTCACGGACTCGTTCAAACTTTCGTGGTTCATCATAGTCTACAACAGTTTCACACATACACGCGCGGCACCCCGGTGGTTTTCAAAAATTCATTTTAATAATTTTTTTTTTTTCGAAAGAATTGGATGGGGACGGTACCATGTCGTCTGTCAACTACACGTAAAAATCGGCGGGGATTTTTTGTTTCAAGAACACGCCCAATCAACCAACCGAAACCTTATTTATTTTATTTTTTTCTTGATTCAGTTTCGGTTCAATTGATAAAGAGTGATACGGCAAAAAACTTTTTCGACGAACCGATTTATATTCTTTTGAGAACTGAAAATTAATTAAAGATGTTTTTATATTTTTTTTTTCTTTATACTTCAAAAGTTTAATGTGAATCCATAATTGATGCCGTAGACCAAACCTTCTCGTTGCTTCCTCCTCTAACACAACTACCCAAAGTAAATCTGAAATTCAATTCAAACGTCAGATTGGAACAACAAGATAAAAATCTTAATTAATAATGTTAAGAACGACAAACACATATCTATAGCAGAGAGTTAAACAGTCGTATGAATTCCAATTTTACCCAATATTGAGTTAATATCATTTTCAAACTACATACATTTGGTCTGTTATTCTGACAAAAAATCGTAACTCTATGTTTCTTGATTACTAGTTAATATGAATTATAAACAAGTTAATAATCTTGCGAATATCATAGAATCTAAAAAATGTTGTAACAAATTTGGAGGACCACCTAATCAAATTGAAATGACCAGAATCAAAAAAGATATATTATCATATATGAGGTCGTTTCTAAATGATATCATAAACACAACGAACTCGACAATTGGCTTTCTGAGTCAACTAATGCTTTCCTCAATAAAGGGTTACTACCTTCCAAAGCAATAGCAAATGGAGAAGAATTTGTTTATAGAACAGGAAGAGTACTCATGTATTAGAGTAGGAATAAATAAAAATAATTTTTACAAGAATATTGTAATTTTCACTTATTTTATAAATTAATATTAATAAAAAATAACGCTGCTTAACAGACGTTGCTAAATCAATGGATAAATCCTTATTCAATGGCATTCATTTTTTACCAAAATAGTAATATATTAAATTAAAGCTATTTATTTTCAAAGCCAAGTTATAGATGACGCAGTAATTCCAGAAGAGCCATTAATTGAATATGTTGATTCGACTAAAATAGCAAATAATGTAGTTTATTTCCATATGAACCAATTAATTTTTGTTATTTGTGATTAAGATGATGAATTAATGCTAACTAATTAAAACATTCTCAGAATTCACTAAAAACTTATAAAAAAAAATAACTCACCAACTAGCTGCAGCTGAATTAACCTGACTTGTTTGATTATTCTTTAATTTTCTCAATTCTTTAGTAGCCCATGTAGATAAAGTTTTCGTACGTGTGGTTCTGCTACGCCTACCCTTCGTCAACATTTCATTAATAACATCATTATCGAGCAGTTCCAACATATGAGCTCCAAATGACGCACACAAATCCCCGACTAATCCGGCCGTAAGTGCGATCACCGCATCGGAATTCTCGTTATCTTGAGCGACCACTGTTATAAACTGCACAATAAACGTAATGTGCGGTTCTAACAGCATCACATCTGGATGAGGCGTCGGTCCGTCACCTTTCAAACCTTGAATAATCCCCGTGTAAGCGTCCAAAACGCCTTCGCGCAACTCGTTCAAATAGTCGAGCATGTCGAAGTCGTCGCGATCAACTTGCGCTTGAGAAGCTTGCATTAAAGTGGCCAGAACGACGTTGAGGTATTTTTTGAATTCCGAACCGATGCTTAAAACGATGTCACCAAAAACTGAAAGAATTTGTGGTTTAACGCTACGATGAACGCTGTCATCGCTAAGATTTTCTAGTAAAAGTGTCATAATCTCGTCGCAATACGGCAGCGTTTTCACTTTTAACGCTCTAAAAATATCACCCGTTAATCCAACAGCTGTTATACAAACTTGATATTCTTGGTGATTTTTTAAGCCGATATATAAAAATGGTTTGAAAGCGTCCATATATTTTAAGAATCCGTCCCCTAATACTTCAACTAACGTTGAAACGGCCATTAGGGCGTCCTCTTGAACACCGCCGCTTTTACATGAGTTCGAATTAAACATTGTCAACATGGCCGTCATGATTGCATCGGAGATATGTGGAGCATCTTCAGGTGTTACTTTTCTTAAAACTGATTGTAAAGTTCCGCATAAAAGCGATTGAAGGTCGTGGAATTGTGATCGATCGTTGTGGCTGGTTATGTGATTTTCCATTTGTAAAACTTGTTGTAACCTTTCTAAAATAACCATAGTTGTTCTTTGCACGGTTACGTAGCAATCTTTCGGCGAATTCTTAACCATTTCCATCAAAGCTTCATATGCGGCCGGTCTTAAGTTAGCTTGAGCCCCATCCGGCCTATCCGTAGTTTCCAATAACCTTTGAACGATAAATTCAAAATACTGTGATAGACAATACGTTTCTGGAGTCGTCATGTCTTCAGTTTCGGCGGCTTCATAAGCCGCTTCTGCCAATCCGGTAAACGCCCAACAGATATTCGCCGTAACTCTCGGTTCCGCCTTTAAACCGTTTATCAAACACTCCAATAAAGGTTTTAAAAATGCATCATTAATTGCAGCTTCCGGAATAATTTCACAAATCCTTCCAAAAGTCCATGCGGCAGTATCTCGAACAATAACGGTACTGTCATACATGAGTTCAATAAGCGTTGGCATGGCTTGTTCTACCAACGGTTTTAAGGTGGAATTTTCTAACCCGCCGAGAATCGATCCGAAAGCCATTAATGAAGCATCGCGGAATCGCCAATTATCTGATTTTATATTATCTTTAATAAATGGGAGGACGTGTTGTACAATTTCGTCTTCACAACAGGTTGCTAATAACATTAAGCAGACGCCAGCGGCTTTACTTGGGTTCCAATCATCTTCATCATCAACCTAAATTAATTTTAAAGTTAGAATGGTGATTCAATTTGAAGTAAATTTATAAAATGATAATTAGGATGTCCAGTCCCGAACCACTAAGAAGTCCCGGAATGTTAAAAGTCCCGAAAGTAAGAAAAAAATTAAAAGTTTTCAGAGTTTGTGAAAAAACGAAATTGATAGGGAAATCACCGGCTATATACCGGCGGTGCTCGAGTTAATAGGTATAGTCGTGTGACACTGTGAGTTATGGCTAGCCTGTGTTCTGTAGTTTTTGTGTGGGCGTCAAATATCGTCAAAATTAAATAAAAATACAGGTAATTAATGACTTTTCATTCATTGTGTTGAAATTTTGTTAGCTATAAGCTGTCATATAAGCTGTTTTAATTTAAAAAATGAGTTCTGATTCCGTAATTTATACGGTACACAAAAAAAAACAACGCTGATTCAAAGTTAATATGGCGACATTTTTATATATCAACAAATAGATCATAGATGGAGCCAGTGTAATAGTGAAATTGGGAAAATTAATACAGTCACTGCAGCAATATTATGCTTTGCTCATGGCATTCAACTTGTAGTGATTGCCGTCATTTATTCTAAAAATGAACAAAAATTATCAAACCGAAACAATGAAACTGATTGCAGTACAAGTAGTAGTGAGGACGCCTATAATAGTGACAATACTGAAGACGGTGGTTTTGAATGAGTAGCATATACTCATATACAGTGTTAATTAATTATCGTGCCGGACGTCATCATTACAAGTATGCAACCAATATCACAGTACAAATCGCAGAATACGCGATTTGCGTATTGTCATACCAATACTGTGATATTGGTTGCATACTTCGACAGGTACAATAATTAATTAACACACTGTATTATTTATACTACAAATGGTTTGAAATCAAATAAAAAACCTTTAAATAGATATCAATATAGACTGCTTCCCAAAAGTAACGGATAAATTCGTTAAAACAATTAAAAACGGTTTATAGAAAAATCGCTGAGGGGTCTAAGGATTAAAATTTTTTTGTATAGTAGTTTTTAAATTTTTTCCGCCATTTTTAAACAAGTTATGACATCACGCTCCGCCATTTATTACGGAATATGAAAGAGGATTTTTCTTCGAATTTGGTTAGCCAAAATTAATATTAGTTACATAAGAAAATTTTCGGGAAAAATTGCCTTAAAGTTTCAAGTGAGGTAGAAAAATAGTAGTAGCCATGCGTAACCATGGCAACCTGTTGGTTTAGATATTTTATTAAGGCCCACTTTTACCACCTCTTGATTCCACCTCTCATTGGCTAAGAGCGCCAATTTATAAATTGGATAAATTTATCAAGAGGTAGCAAAAGTGGACCTAAGACAATGATTAATTTTTGATATCTGAAACAATTGGTTGCCATGGTTACGCATAGCTACTGCTATTTTTGTATCTCAAATGAATGGAAAATCATGAAACTTTAAGATAATTTATCTCGAAAATTTTCTTATGTAACCAATATTAATATTGACTGTACCAGATTTAGAAAAAAGTCTTCTTTCATATTCTATAATAGAAATGGAGCATTGCTGTTTAAAAAAAACATCGATGACGTCATTACTCGTTTAAAAATGGTGGAAAATTTTAAAATCTATACCAAACAATTGTAAAAAATGTAAATCTTTAGACCCGTTTCAGCGATTTTTTCATAAACTGTTCTTAATTGTTTTAATGAATTTATCTGTTACTTTTGGGAAACTCTGAATGATTGATTTGAGTCACTACCTAGCTGAACCATGGATAAGAGAAAGATTAACATCCTAAATATTTCTGACAAAGATGAAAAACCTGCAAAAACCATGCTTTTTATATAATTTTTTGTAAACGTATTTTTATTTCGGGATTATTTTCGGTAATTTCAAGACCTTTGGCCTAAGTACCAGGATTTAGAATTTAGTCTCAACTCCTAAAAACATTTTTGGTCAAGGAAATTGGACACCCTAATGATAATTACCTCTTGTTGTTTGGTTAGTTTTTGTAACAATATTGGTACAATATATTGCAAGGCTCCTTTGGCATAATGCCTAGATACTCTTGTAGGCGGTCGTCCTGCTTCAGCGGCTTCAGTGTCTTCAATAGCCAAATCGACTTCTTCATCGCTGACGTTAGACCAAAATTCAATGCCTTGAAGTGCAACGGCGTCATTTTCAGATTTCATCGCCTCAAGAGTGATCGGGAAAAGAGCGCGCGCCATGTAAGGTTCCATATACTGATAATACAAAGTGAGAATCTTCACCAAACATTGTAAAGCGACGACTTTAATTTGGGTATCTTGGGATTGCGTCGCCTCGCAAACCACTTCCATAATAAAATTTCTCTCCGCCTCTCGATCGAAATTGTTTTTTGTGAACTCGAGTGAATTTAAAAGGGCTTGTGTGGCGGCCAATCGAACGTGATTGCTAGGTTCCGAGCTACGCATTCCGTGTATGATGGCGGTTAAAATTTCGTTCGATTGAGACACTAACGCTTCCGAATCGATTTCTTGACAAATGTATCCGATTGCTTCTAGTGTAGCCTCTTTTTGCATTTCGGTCACATTCGCTGCTATCACGTTGTTCACTAGGGTGGTTATTAATGTTGGCCATTGTCCTTGGGGTAGCTCAGTTACAGCTACGTAGGCTACACATTGAGCGGCAGATGATGGTCTACTTGTTTCTGTTCCTAAAGCTCCTACAATCTAAATACAATAATTAAATTGTGTTTAATTTAATTATTATTTAATGGGACTTACATTTTTTTTAACATAGCCTCGAGTTTCTTGGGGCATTTCAAGCCAACGTTGTTGATAGGCAGATTTGAGGTTTTGATCCTTGGAGGTGAGCCGATTTTTGAGTTGTAAACCGGCTGCCATTCGAGCCACCGGGCTATTCCCACCATGTCTAAGGATGTCTGACAAAGTTTTGATAAATTCCGCGAGATTTGTTGCCGCTGCCTGTTCCAGGAAATTAGACGCCTGTTCCAATTCATTTTTGTCTAAAAATATTAAACAATCAGAACCATATCAATAACAAGTATAGAGTATCAACATACAAAGATAACAAATTAAATTTAAGGTTAATAATAATTGTAATTTAATGAAAAAATAAATCAGATTTTTTAAACGGTATTAAAAGGAACTTTGTATTACGTACTATTAAAGCGAAATTCTTATTCTAACTTTACTCAAACGATTAGAATTGAATCGAAAATATAGCTGGACAACGTGCAAGTAGAATAATGGCAACCTATGACATTTTAATTTATCAAAATTTCACCGCTTACCTGACGAAACGGTCTTCTCGAGTATGTGTATTAGCTGTAACGTTTCTTGGTGCATGATCGTTGGTCCTACACACGATATATAACAATTTCTTACAAGTTATTTCTTAATTAGCACAAATAACCGGCGAACACACCACATGTAAGGTGACTGAAACTGGCTGAAAGATCGTGTTCCTACGCGAGATTTTGACAGACGGAAGACGTTCAATCGTTAACGGTTTTAACAAAGGACATCCAACCCAATACGGCTATCTAAAAAATAAAAAGATTACAGCAATGGCAATTTGAAAATATATACCTCGTTAAAAATTGAAGTTTGAAATTGTCGCAAATAAACCGCAAACGGCGGGACTACTTTTTACTACGAACCTCATTTGACCGGTAGATAGGCGGTACAAAATGGCGCGTAAATGTTCCGTTTAATTTTTCATTGACATTTACAGATTTCTTCTTTTTCGATATAGTCGATGTAGAAGCAAACTTTTAAGAAATTATCTTTTATTCATTTTAAATAATAGATGGAAATATTAAGTTGAGTTTATTTATTTAAATTACAATTATTAAAATGTTCTAACTATAAAATAATCACCAATTTTAGTTTTTTTTGCGAATAACACCTCTACCGGGAAGTTTTGAAACAATAATAAAGTTTCTGTTGACAAAAAATGTAAATACAATAATTAGGCGTATTTAATTGCCATGTTTTAATAAAAGCTTTAATTATTTTTATATTAACAAAATATAATCATTAATATAAAGTTTAAAAATGAAAAGTGATTTAAATATGAGTTAAATATTATGCATAATTTGATACAAGTTGCAATAAAATGTTATGTCAAAAGTCAAATGTCATAATTCAATTTAAGGTTATGTTGCCAAATGTCATCAACTTAAAAGTCTTTGGTATGAAGATTTGGAAATATTCCCATCCCTACATTTGAGGAATTCGTATTAACTTAATATTGTATATAATTTAATTTATGGTAAGCCTTACAATTATTGAACAGATCATTATTCAATTCCTAAATATAGTATACAGTCTATTTCTAATCTCAAAGGTAAACTATTTCAATGTCTAATAACTGTATAATAATCAGTGTGGATTCTAATCATTGGACATTGTGTCCAATAGCTATACATTTCTACTTTTCCCTATAAAGGTATCAAAAATGACCAAAAGACGAACATATGATAATAGAGAATATGATCCCTGAGTAAGCAAATGCTAATTATTCCTATTGAATCAAATTCTGATTACTATCAAAGTACAAAAGTGCGTTTTTATTATATTACTATTTCTTAAGAAACAATCATCTAAGAAAAGTTCTTAACTGTCCAATTTTTTTTATATAAATTATCATAAGATTGAGGTAGGGGTATATCGGGCAGCAGGTAGATAGTAAACAAACACGTTTTAGTCCTTTTACGTCGAACAGCAAAGAAACAAGGGTATTTTAGAAAATTCATGGTTAGCATTGTTGACAAAAAGTGACGTCACATTGAAATTTTAATATGAATTTTCGGTAAGTTTTACACATTTCAGTTCTGTTTTTTATATGTAACGCTTATTTGGGTGATTTTCCATCAATTATCGATTTTTAAGTGATAGTTTGATTCTTGAACAATGCCCAATTATAATATGATAAATTGAAAATGTATCTTAAGTTGTTATTGTAAACAGTGTCTAAAACCGTAACGTATTCAGTACATCGTCTGTAAATAGACGCAGAACGGATCCAAAGAAATCTGAAAAATAGAAATAGTGATCGTCGTTAAAGTTCTTCACCTATTGACCACTACTTGGCGTCCAGCCTGATGTTCAGGATTGTATTAAGAAAATTTACGATACAGCCCTCTTTCTTTCCTTTGTGACAAGACCAATTAAAATTAGAATCGAATACCTCCCTGTGAATGCAAGGTACTTCAAAACGTTTAATTGCATACTAGTACGTGTAATTTTTCAAAATTCCCAGTCTGCTGAGAGGCACTCATAGGTAATTCCTACGGCCGTTGAACCTCGTACTAATCTAATTGTGGATATAAATGTGTTTCCGATGCGGTTTATTTAAGAAGGCAAAACAAAACTTTGATTTCGTTCCTCTGTCGCTAAGCGAGTGAGCGGGGAGATAGATTTCTAAATGGAAATATGTCAGCGTCGGGATAGTTGTACGATAAAAAAATGGGGAAGGTGTTGCCGTTTGCTAGTTTATTGTATTCCGATCGGGTTAATTTCTCTTAAAGTGGAATCGTGCTATACCGCGACCGGCCGTAAATTAAACTTGGCCGACGAATCGAAAGTTTATTTTGAAAATTGCCGTTGTCTGCGCACGACTAACCTCGCGAAGCCGTCGTAAAACCCGAAGATACATTACTTTTATGATACCAACAATCGTGCCCATTACCGCAATTTTATATTGATTATGCGGGATTTTATTAATTAACACGAAAATGTTATTGAGCGAATTCGCATAGAACTAAAATAAGTAAATTACTTATTTACTTTTTCCCTTAAAATACACGAACTCTTGTCTGCCGATAGAGTTTCGCTTTAAATTTAGCCCGACGTAACAGTATTTTCTGTCGGTTACAGGACGGGATTAAAGCGACCGAACGACCCAGACAGTCCCGGTATGCGAGAAGTTCCGCAAAATGGGAATTTACTACTTTCGAAACGAAGCGGCAGACGGTCCCTGTTTAGGTTTTCTCATTTTGCGTTGTCTTAGGTCAGGGTTTATTTTTGCTTATGCAGCTGTTTCTGGCTAATTTGGCGTTTGGGGGACCAAGGTAAATTTGTATCTCCTGGCATCACATATACCTTAAAACACTACCATTTAACTAAGTACCTAATTATAATACGCTTATAATTTACAACTTTGTTGTATCATGGACTTAATTTATAAGTGCCGTTTTTCGTTTTGGCTATTATCATAAATATGTCTCTGCATTAATGATATAGCTATAAACACCATAATTTAACCACAATTACGTTTCATACTTGATATTCGTTGCAACATAGTATTACGTTGGTTATATTTAATATAATACAGGAGATCGAGTTCTAAACTTATATGGACAGAAAACGAAACAGTTTTGTAATACCTTGTGTAGATGGACATTAATTAATCTATAAATATTTAGTTAAAAGTAATCATAACTTTTCCTTATATAAGTACGAAGGATTTCACGATCGCGTTAGTTGAAGTAAAACTAGATTAATAATTATAAAAAAAACCTGAACAACTACAACTAACACTAGTACTAGAACTTACACTAGACCTAGAACAAACTTTTCCTTATGTTGTGCAATTGTAATGTGATTGCCCTGTATGGTACAAGAGGAAAGTTTATACTACCATAATTAACCACCAGCAATAATAATTGTTATAAATGATATACACATAAGGATGGTTGTATCTAAGATCAACCGCGAAAATTTATTAAGTGCTAAGGATTAAATGTTAAGGGATAGCCGTGTGAGGAGAGCGCGTTAACTTTAATAATTCCTTCGATATATAAACGAGATAGATATACATACGCGGAATTGCGAAACCCAAATGGTAATCAGGATTGCCGTCGGGCTAACGTACTCAAACGGCGGGCGTCGCGATTGCACACTTCTCTAGGCGAGCAAAGCAAAACCGGCAGAAACATCCATTCGTCTGTTCTCTCCCCCAAACAGATATCATCGACACTTTAGCAATACGTAATAAATATGTTTCAAATGGAACAGCGAGCACGGTTTGCGATTTATACCGATCTGGTGGCGGGATAAGCCACTTATTTATGTGCCACAGTAATAGTATACAATTAGCTCTATGTAAATTCCGGAGATGCGGTGGATAAGGCATTAAGAAATTTTCTTTATTTACGCGAGCATTGTATGTAAAATCGTCTTGTATCCAGAAGGAGGCGCGACGCCCGTAGACGCGTCCCTCTGACGCCGATACGATGATCGTGATGAAATCGGGAATGGAATCTCGTACGCGCTCGACGATATATCATCCGGTTCGGGCTATAAATCTACCTGGTGTCGGTGCATTTTTCTTAACTAATGTCTTATTTACATCACACTTGGCGCGCTGGCCTGCTTTCAATTTTAAATTAACCAACCCCCTTTGTATACAGACTTTCATTACCTTCCGAACAACATCTACAATACCAATAACGTGTCATCGATGCATTTTCTTCTTGTTGCTCCACCAACTCAACAACTCTTTAGTATAATCATTTCTAATACAAGCTTTACAAGATCACTAATTCATCATACATTTATTTAGTTACAAGCAATTGCCCATAAAAAATTTCAATTGATTCTTAAAGTGCAGAAACAGAATATGTTTTAACTTTAATAATCTCAACCTTAATTCGAATAAAATTTTACATCAAAACATAAAGATGGAACTGTTTGCCATTAAATAATCTCTAAACAACAAATTTATAATAAACAGTATTTAGTCTTCTGCCAACAGTATCTAGTCTTCTTCTAACAATATCTAGTCTTCTGCCAACAGTATCTAGTTTTCTAATAACAATATTTAGTCATCTGCCAACTGTACGTAATCTTCTGTTAGCACTATTCAACCATGCAGTATCAGTATCTAATCCTAATCTACCGGTGGTATCTACTCTAAGATTATTAGTATCTAGTGTTCTGCTGACAGTCTTCTGCCAACAGTATCTAGCCATTTAGTAACAGTATTTAATCTCTCGCTCTCGTTAGGTCTAAAATTGTTCATTTAAGAACCCAAGCGTATAATTCTCGAAGTAATAGAGAAAAACGAATCAAAGTGTTTCATTAAATGAAATAGAAAAGTAACTTGTTTTATAACTATTATTAAACGTGACGAAAGGAAACCGTCGTAAACCCAATGCAAATCGAGTATAACAAGAAAAAATGTGTAGACTGATGGATTCCTATTAATTTTGATTTACGTAGTAGTTTTTTACAGTCGTAAATACATCTAACGAGAGACTCATTGCAATTAACAGATAGTGCAATTTTATGGTTATGTAAATGTTATCGTTTAACTAACTATAAACTATTTGCCCATTGAATCAAATTATTATTATTCGCGCCCGAGTATCTCATTATCCGCGTACGCAACAAGGAACGGAGCAATTAATTAGCTGCTCGTAGTAATATTGTTGAATTCTGAATTTAGCGTCCGTTTGAACTGGTTTTGCTTGGTTAAATTTATCAGTTTCGCCTCTAATTGACACTGTGATCTAGTAAGTAAGATATGTCAAGGAAA